GATGGTTCGAATAATCTTATTATTCAGTAAGTCAAAACATGCAAAGTGAAACAATGGTAAATAATCAACACAAGATAGTAACTTTACTCATAAATAATATACATTTATTTAATAATCAAATGTCGATTACAATTTATCTATTACAAGTTTCTAAAACCTATATAATCACAAAAACTAATACCGTCCTTTATCCCAATGCTCCCAGTGTGCTGCGAGTGCTTAACCCTACTTAGTCTCTTTGTAAGGGGATCTGCTGGGTTATCCTCTAGTGATACCTTCTTTATAACGAGGAGTCCCTATTCCACACGATGTCTAATGAAATGATATTTTCTGTCGGTATGCCTGGATCTACCATGATCCCTTGGTTCCTTGGTTAAGGCAACCACACCTTCGTTATCGCAGAAAATCTCCATAGGCTCCTTTATGGCATGTACAATTCCAAGGTCTCCGATGAAGTTCTTTAGTCATATCGCCTCTTTTAACATTTTGCTCGTTGCTATGTACTCTGATTCACATGTTGAATCAGCCACCGTTTCCTGCTTGAAACTTTTCCAAGTCACTGCTCTTCCATTTAGGGTAAAGACCCAACCCAACTGAGATCGATAATTATCTCGGCCTGTTTGAAAACTGGGGTCACTGTACCCTCATACTCTCAAGTCATCACTCCCACCGAGGACAATGAACCATTCCTTGGTCTTTTATAGGTACTTAAGAATATTCTTGACTGCGGTCCAATGAGCTCTACCATGTTTCCCTTGATATCTGCTGACCATGCTCAAAGTGAAGGGCACATTAGGGAGAGTACAAGTCATAGCATACATGATGGAGCCAACTGTGGAAGCATAAGGGACTCGGCTCATCTCTGCTATCTCAGCCTCTATACTCGGACTTTGAATCTTACTCAGTTTGGTATTGCTTTAGATCGGTAACTCCCCTTTCTTGGAATTCTCCATGCTGAAACGTTTCAACACATTATCCAAGTAAGTACTTTGACTAAGTCCTAGTAGTCTCTTACTCCTGTTTCTCACAATCCTTTTCCCTAGGATATAGGCAGCTTCTCCGAGGTCCTTCATAGCGAAGCACTTCCCAAGCCAGGAGTTAACCTCCTGCAATGTTGGGATGTTGTTTCTTATGAGTAGTATGTCATCCACATACAATACGAGAAAGCTAACTATACCCCCACTAGCTTTGACATATATACAAGATTCATCCTCGTTCCTCGCAAAGCCAAACTCTTAGACTTTCTCATCGAAACAAATATTCCATTTGCGAGATGCTTGTTTCAATCCATAAATGGATTTCTCAAGCTTGCACACTATATTGGGATGCTTTGCATCGACAAAACCCTCTGGATGACTCATGTAAGCATCCCCAACTAACTTCCCAGTAAGGAAAGTGGTTTTGACATCCGTCTGCCGTATTTCATAATTATGAAACGCAGCTATGGCTACCATCACCCTAATAGATTTATCTTCGCAACTGGTGAGAATGTCTCATCATATTCAACTCCAGGAGTTTGAGTAAAACCCTTCGCAACCAATCATGCCTTTTACGTGTGCACTTTTTCATCCATGTCGATCTTCTTCTTGAAGATCCACTTGCAACTGATTGTGTTACGACCTGGTACATTGTCAACCAAGTTCCAAACTTGATTGTCATACATGGACTGAATCTCGCTGTCCATCGGATCTTTCCATTTAGCAGACTCCGAGCCTGTTATGGCTTCCTTATAGTTGTTAGGTTCATCTAAAATCACTAGTGTACTATCACTAATAAACGTATCACCCTCAGATGTTATATGGAACCCATACAACACATATTGAACACTAACTCTACTGGAACGTCTAAGAGGTAGGGAATCGTCAACAGGTTCAACATGAGTTTCCTCCTCAGGTTGATCACTAGTGTTGGAGGTTCCTTCATCACTTGTCTTTTGAAGCTCTTCGAGATCAATTTTCCTCCCACTGTCCCCTTGTTATATGAGCTCTCTCTCGCGAAAGACTACTCTCCTCGCAACTAAGACAATGTTGTCACTCGGTCTATAGAAAAGATATCCAAAGAACTTCTGTGGGTAGCCGATGAAAATACACTGCTCACTACGAGGTTCGAGCTTGTTGTGAGTCTCTCGTCTTACGAAAGCCTCGCAACCCCAAACCTTTATATGTGCCAATGAGAGAGCTTTCCCTTTCCACATATCTTGAGGTGTTTTGACAACCTTCTTGGTAGGGACTATGTTAAAGATATAGGCGACAACCGTTAAGACATACCCCTAGAATGAGATTGGTACCGAAGCACGACTCATCATGAAACAAACCATGTCTAACAAGGTCCTGTTGCGCTTCTCAACCACACCATTAAGTTGTGGTGTCCTAGGTGGCATCAATTGTGAAACTATTCCACATTCATGTAGATACTCGTGGAGCCCGATACTAAGATACTCTACTCCTCGATCGGATCGCAACATCTTTATCTTCCAGCCCAGCTGATTCTCCACTTCTTGTTTAAATTCTTTAAAGTTTTCAAAGGTATCTGATTTATGCTTGATTAAGTAGATATACGCATATCTGCTATAATTATCAGTAAAAAGCACATAGAAACGACAAACATCCCTTGTGGTGGATATGAAGGCCCTACATACATCAGTATGTATGAGATCCAACAAACCCTCACCCCTCTCACAAGTACCAGTGAAGGGTGACTTGGTCATCTTTCCAAGTAAACAAGACTCGCACGTGTCGTCTAATTTTAGGTCAAACGACTCCAACACTCCATCCTTTTGGAGTTGGGCTATGTGTTTTTTGTTGACATGTCCAAGACGACAATGCCACAAGCATGCTTTGTCCAAACTTTTGGACGAATCGATTTACAATACACTATTTCCTAAGTTATCAACAATCATCATAGTTTCATATATTGCATTACAATGCAATGCTTCAAAATAGAAATCACCATTCAAATAAGCATTAAAAGAACAAATTTTATTGTTAAACAAAAATCTAAAACCTTGTCTAAACAAACCATGAAAAGAAATAATGTTTCTCTCCATCTGAGACGAGTAGAAACAATTATTCAATTCTAATCCTAACCCACTACTAAACACTAAAGAATAAGTCATAATCTTGGTCACAAGCGACGCTTTCCTGTTTCCCATGATCAGGTTCATCTTCTCATGCTCCACATCCTTACGTCCTATAAGACACTGCAAATCAGAACAAATGTGAAAATCACATCCTGTTAAAAAACCCAAGAAATAGCATGTGATGAGGTGTTAGATTGAATAGTATAAATATTTTCATGGGTGGGTTTTTTTTTCCCATCCCTGATATCCTGCAAGTATTTTGGGCAGCTTTGTTTCCAGTACCCTTTCTCGTGGCAGTAGAAGCACTTTGCTTCTTTGGGATCGACCGAGAAAATGGCATGACCAGCTTTGGTCCCACTAGAAGAGGATCCATCATGGGGCTTGACCTTGAAGCTCTTGTGAGGAGCCTTCCTCTTCTTTCCACTGCCTTGCCCAATAGCCAGGACAGGGGCATCAGCAACAGGATTCGGTGCAACAGACTTGTCCTTTAAACTGCTCTCTCAGCAGTTTGCAAGAGATCTTGAATCTTGCTAAGTGTGACCTCCTCATTGTTCATATGGTAGGTCATACAAAATTGGTTGTAACAAGGAGGTAAGGAGTGGATAATGATATCAATCGCCAGCTCCTTATCAAAGTTAACATTTAACTTCAACAAGCGATCCACATACCTCTGCATCTGTTGCAGGTGGGCCGTGATGGACTCTCCATCCTTTATCTTGGTAGTGATCATCGAGACGATGATCTCATACCTCTCTTGCCTAACACTTTGATGGTACCTCTCGATCAAGTCCTAGTGCATTTCATATGGATAGAAGTCCTCATAGGACTTCTGGAGTTCTGGAGTCATAGTTGCGAACATGATGCAATGTACTTTCGTTGCATTTTCAGAAGTGGCAGTGTTAATGCTAACCTTCTTGAGCTCCTTATCGAGAACATACTATTTGTCATCGTATCATGTCACCATCCTTATATTACGAATCCAATCGTTAAAGTTGCTGCCATTAAAGATTACTCTCCGACATAGGTTCATTAGGGAGAAGGAGCCAGAAGCGTTGGAGCCTGAAACGTTATTGAGTGGACATCTAAAAAAGAGACAATTTTAATTAGATATGAAAATACGTAATTAAACACCCAAATGAGAACTTAAAGCTAGGACCCAACATCATTATTCACAATCTAGAAAAGGGATGTCGTAATCTAACTGCAAGTAATTTGAAGGTAGGTGAATGACGATTCACCAATTTCCACCATAAAAAACGAAAAAGACTTCATGTTTTAAATGTATTGAAACTCCTAGATTCTTTTGAGATTCTTTGAACTTTTCAATGGCATGTTTAAATCTCTATTATGTCATTCAAGTTTGTGACTCGGATACCGAGGATCACAAACAAGGTGTGAATAACCATGCAAATGTACTTGGTGATCTCGATGTCATTTACCACCTAACCAATGTGCCAGTAAACCACACACGCTCCATTAGTCTATGACAAACATTGAGCCACCCTTTGCCACCCAAGCTAGTCCCAAGTTAGTGTACCGGTTAGCCACACACGCTCCACTAACGACTTGGTAAGGTGCAAATTGCAATTTCATGGAATAGCATACAATTTCATATTTTTCCTAAAGTAACTAAGATTAAGAATTTTGTAAAAACATTTAGTTATTTTATTAATCATTATACTTATAATGAGGAATTAGTTGCCCTATCCTACCCGTTCGGCTAACGACCCTCCACCAATCAAGAAAGCGGTGGGTGAGAGTGGACACTCATTCAATCACCATTTTATAGGCCTGGATCTGTTGGATTTGTCTCAAAATCTGTAAGTATGTTTGACTTTAATTGACCATGTATTAGTAATCGTGAGAGATAAGATAATTGTTAAAATTGAAATTGAAATTTAAATTTAAATTATAGGGTAGGATGTCTAACGAGTTATACAACATAATCGCACGTGTGACAGATGGAATCTATGAAGGCATTGCTATTAGAGATGTTTTTCCCGGTTCCACCCTTTCTGTTCATGTTTTGAGATTCAACAACATTCCACATGTATATGGAATTATAAATCTCTTGTCTCTCTATTTATTTATTGAAAATTTTATATGTATTTTTCAGATAAAAATGATTGTTGTGCTTGGGGAACTCGATGGAAGAGATGAATATTCATTAATTGAAGCACTTCAATCAGGAAAACATTAATAAACCAGTATGCGCTTGGGTCAGTGGAACTTATGCACGTCTCTTCAAATCAGAAGTTCAATTTGGTCATGCAGTAAGTTTATTATCTTACTTTCTTAAATGCTAAATTATGCAAGAAATAGCAACCTTTCACCAATATAGACAACGTACATTACATTGCTATTTTTCCTTTCTTTAATTTGGAAGGGTAATTTTGTGATTCTGTTGATCATGTTTAATCTTTTTCACTTACCCATTCATTAATAAGGGAGCCAAAAGTAGTTGTGAAATGGAGTCTGCACAAGCTAAAAATGAAGCACTCAAAGATGCCGGAGCAGTTGTCCCCACTTCATTTGAATCATTTGAAGCTTCAATCAAGGAAACATACGAGAAATTGGTAAAAATCCTAATCTTAATCTTTTTTATATTCCCATTTTGCCCTTCACGAACTCAAAAAATTTCGGTTTTTTAGTAGGCTGAGGAGGGAAAGATTACCCCTGTTATGGAAATCACTCCTCCACATGTACACACAAAAAGCACACCATTTACCCTCTCTTTTTCCGATTTAGTCTTTTTTTTTTTTTTTTTTTTCCAAATCTTTGATCTGTATAAGCATTTTGGTGTTTTTATGTTTGTAGTTACTTGCCTGAACGAGATTTATCCTAACAAATTTGGATGAACAAAAATAGCAACACATTTTGATTTTATCTCTCTGGAAAAGACAAAGGATCACTAAAACTTTAATATTTTTCTTATTTTTAGATCTTAGTTGATGCTTTTTTCACTTAATTTGTGTAAATTTCAGATTCTTGATTGGTTAACACACATTCCTACTGATATTGAAGTTTATATTCGGCCTGGATCTTCGAATGGATAATTCCTCTTGTGATGAGGTAAATTTTTTTCATAAGATTCCTAAAATTTGTTTCATAAATTCAATCTATTCAGATTTATCAACAAACTTACAAGTGATTGATACACTTTTTATCATAAACCTTGCTAATTACTTTTGATGTTTTTATTTCCATTACTTTATTGTTGGCTAACTAGATGATCCTTTTTTTTTTTTTTTTACAACAGGATGCTGATAATGAGAAGAAAAAGAAACACGATAACCTTCAAAACATACATTGATTTTAATTGATGCTTTTTTTTTAATCTGATGATTACTGGTGATATATGTGCAGTTACCACCAAAAGAAGTTGATAACTGGCTGCTCCATGATGCCACTATAAGAGAAGCTTATGGTGGTTTGAATTATGAAATGTTCCATTTATTTAGGAGAACAATGAGGACATGGCTCAGAAGGTTAGTTCTATCCCATGTAATTACTGGTTATTGAGTTTTTCTTTTAATGTTATGGTAATTAACTATTATTAATATTTTATAAATTTATGCGGTGTTGCAGACTTGCAGCTTCATTTAATCTTGCTCTCAAAACCTGCAATTAGAGTTGTAGCCATTATAGGTGAAGGTGTTTCTTAATATAGCATAAGGGAGTTGATTTCCTAATAATGATAAGGTAATTACAAATTTAAAATAATACCCTTACATGGCTATAGGGATTGCATTTTTTTATCTTAGTTAAAACATTGATGTTTCTTAGTTAAAACACACCACTTACCCTCTCTCTTTCTGATTTAGTTTTTTTTTTTTTTTTTCTTGCAAGTTATTATTAGAGAAACAACATTTTGTCGGCTTAAAGCCTAAACTTTCAAGATTGATGATAAATTTAGAATGTTTACAACAATCATGGAGTTAATCTATAAACTTTCAAGATTGTGTTTGCAGGAGGTATCTGGTAGAGCAGCAAGGTCGCCTTCTGAATCATAATACTTCCCAAATATTCCAATGTATGTTTAAACTTTAAGGCATCCATTCTTTACAAGTATTGCTAAGGACACGAAAAGACCTCGACAATAGACACAACTTCAGTGACTACAGACAATATGAGGGTATCTAATGCTAACAAGAAGAGAATGCTAGAGAAGGGCATTTCAAGAGTGGACTTTCTGTTGGGTGTTTATCGTAATTTTTGGCTATTTATCTGAATTTTTTTTTGTTTGTCCCTTAAAATTGGAATTAAATATTTGGCTCAAGTTTGAGTTTTGACAAAGGTTTAGTTTGGAAGTAGTGTTGAATAGTTTGAGAAATACCAATAGATTATCTAAAAAGAATTGGTAAAACGTAAAAGTTTCAAATTAAAACATAACTAATATAACTTTTATTTTAAACGAAAATAACTATATATTTATAAGGTTTATCTTTTTATTCATAAAGTTTATCAAGTAAAAAAGAAACCACAAAGTTATTATTAAAAGAGTCAAGACACTCTTACTCTAATATATCTTTCGAATTGACACAAATCAAACAATATTTTTTATTGAACTAATAACAAAAACAATATAGATGATAATAGTAAAACTACATATTGCTAAAAATCGATAAAACTAACAATAATGTATGCTAAAAAACAATGAAACTAATAATACAAATAGTATACATGCACTCAAACTTGACACGCATCTAAATTGATGGAATTTAAAACTGTATATTTAGTTTTAACAAAAAAATAATTTGCGTTAATGTTATCCTACAATAAAACAATTTATATATATATATATATATATATATATATATATATATATATATATATATATATATATATATATATATATATATATATATATATTACAAAAAGAGCGACACATGTTTATTTTTTTTATCTGAAATAGCAACGTACATATATTTTTAACCAAAAATAACACTGTCCAGTCGTTGATTGAAAGGAACAATTTGAATCACGTTGAAAGGAATCTAACTATTGTCCCAAAACTATTCACATAAATGAAAATAACCAGACCCAACAAAATGCTTTTCATTTAAACTCGAATAAGCAACATACTTATACATTCAAGCAAAAACAACGTTGGCCATATAAACGAAACATTTTCACGTATGAAAAAAGAAAAATAATCGTCGCCTAGAGTCTACTATTAGAAATGAAACTAATCGCCTCTGCCGCATTGCACGGGTCAACTACTATATATATATATATATATATATATATATATATATATATATATATATATATATATATATATATATATATATATATATATATATATATGGATCGAATCTTAAACTTGTAAGATTCTAGGGTTTAGAATTTAAATATTTCAAAATTAAACTTTTAACCAAAAAAAATTAAATTCGAAAACTTGAGGGAAAGTTTTGAACTTTCCAAAACATATACTAGATCAAATTACAAATAATTTAATTAAACAAATAATTAATGTATTGAAACTCCTATACTCTTTTGAGATTCATTGAACTTTTCAAAAACATGTTTAAATCTGGATTATGCTTTTCAAGTCTGTGACTGGGATACTGAGGATCACAAACAAGGTGTGAATAACCATGTAAATGTACTTGGTGCTCTCTATGTCATTTACCACCTGACCAATGTATCGGTAAACCACACACGCTCCATTAGTCCATGACAAACATCGAGCCATCCTTTGCCACCCAAGCTAGTCCCAAGTTAGTGTGCATGTTAACTACACACGCTCTACTAACGACTTGACAAGGTGCAAAGTGCAATTTTCATGGAATAACATACAATTTCACATTTTTCCTGAAGTAACTAAGATTGAGAATTTTGTAAAAACATTTAGTTATTTTATTAATCATTATACTTATAATGAGCAATTAGTTTCCTTATCCTACCCATTTGGATAACTACCCTCCACCAATCAAGGAAGCGGTAGGTGAGAGTGGACACCCATTCAATTGCCATTTTATAGGCAATTTTCTTATACATGTAAATTATCCAAAGCTTGTAAACCCTAGATCTAGTATATGAAATTTGAAATCTACAATTAAACCAGATTTAGGTGATTACCTTTCACAAATGGTTAGAATCTTCAACTTCAAGAGCTTAGTATCACAAGTGTAATACATCTGATGGCTCACAAACACCAAAGCAAGTTGGATGATCTTGGATAGAGGGTATGGAGGCGTAATTTCGGCTCTAAGAACTCTAGGATTCAAGTGTAGGCCGAAATTTGATGCCCTTGGGTCCCTTTTATAGTTGTGCTACTAGGGTTTCAGTCAAAACCCTAACTGGATAGCTTAGGGCTTAAGTAGTCCTATGGAACCTTCTAGAATGAGGCCCTTGGATGATTTCAAGTGGGCTTCCCGTCTTAATTTCGTCCACCTCCTTTTCTAAGGATCCACATCCCATAATTCAATTATCTCATAATTGCATTTCCATCCCCCTAAGTTCAATTAATATCTTTTGATCACTAAATTAGTTCTAAATTAATTGTTGACCAACATACTAAGTAACTAATATGATTTCTCCTTTAATATACTATTCTTATAATATATTAATAAACCATATTATCCTCTCTCTCCACTAATCATCCAGTCAAGTTTCTTCGGTGAAAGCAACCTAAAAGGACCATGCTACTATCGGGTCAAGTACATACCAAATATAGTTATGGGCTTAGACACCTAATCCAACAATAAAAACTCTACAATTAAGCATTCCCGGGCGAGAACAATCCAGGGATGGGTGACCCCCTGAGAAGTTTTCATGCCGGGAGCCCAAAGCAGACCATATTATGATACATGCCAGAGGGGGGTTTTAGAGTTACTATTATGATTGTAGGTGTTCAGAGAGCTGATAATCCATCTTAGCTACTTCCGTGGCTTTATTATGTGTTTTGCGCCTTTAGGTGAGTTTTCCTCACTATACTTATGAGTAGATGACACCAAGGCCGACCCTTTGGTTTGATACCCTATTATGTATGATATTGTGCTGTAGTGATCTGTTAGATCAGTATCATGTTATATATGATGCTTCTATGCTTAGTAATCTGTAAGGTCTGTCTGTTGTTAGTGGCTGGTTATTTGCAAGCTTGTTTGATATGTGTGGATATGTATATATATATATATATATATATATATATATATATATATATGTGTGTGTGTGTGTGTGTGTGTGTGTGTGTCAACATGATGTATGTGTGGTTGGGTTAAGGCGGTCCGACTTTATGTTGAAGCCCAACAGACCCAAGACGTCCCGGATAGACTGAAGGCCAGTGAGGTGTACCAGTCAGCCCGAAGGACCGCAGAACGTTCCAGATAGGCTGAAGGCCAATGGGGCGCCTCAGTCAGACTGAAGGCCCGGAGAACATTCCATATAGGCTGAAGGCCCGGTATGGCGTGCTAGTCATGTTGTGGGTTCTATGAGCGTACCCGGTAGACTACAGGTCGGTGAGACGTTCCAATCAGACTGAAGGATCTGTATGGATGTTGTTTATTGTATTTATTATGGTTTTGTGCTGGGTTGGTATTTTAGGGGAAACTCACTAGGCTTTGGGATTTTAGTTTTAGGTTATGTTTTAGGTACCTCATATGATCGAGGGAAGACAAAGGCGTGATCGTGCACCTCCTCATGTTTTGTTTTATGATCTTTGGGAAAACTCTCAGAATAAACATGTTTTAAAAACTATTTTGTAAACAATGGTGGTTTGTGGAATTGTTTGAAAGTTTAAAATTTTCATGAATTTTATGGATGTTACAATCAAACTATGTGCTTCTTGCTTTAGCTTATTTTGCATATAATTGTATTAGGCATAACGAGCTCTACTACTAAGAACGAAGAAAAAAATGTATAGTTGTTTTATCTGATCTGATGCATATATTTATGATTTTTTTGGTCTGTGTGTGTGTGTGTGTGTGTATATATATATATATATATATATATATATATATATATATATTAATGGGATGTTGTAGCTAATTTAGTACCAGGAAGTGAGACCAACCAACATCATGGTTATTTGAGCTACATGAACTTTAGGAAGGCGGGTTTTGGTGTGCACTTGACGAGGAATTTGATGGATGATACTTTGTTAGGATTAAACCTTATCCTGCTGTTTTCCTACATAATTGGGGTGCAACTGTTGTCTACATAAGCCTATATGTAAGAAATAATAATGCACTTTCATTAATTTGTTTATTATAGCATTTTCTTTTTACACAAAATGTTTCTTAATGCTATATTTAGGTTGTTTCAACTTCATTGTTGAATACAGTGGGATTTCTCATTAGGTTGCTTTGCTTGAAATTCGTAACTCTTGATTGGGCTGATTGGATGCTGAAAAGAATTGAGCTCTTAAGAATACAACCAATGCTTTTGTTAAGTACTTGCCTCGAGAATTGTGCATATGATAGATTGGGAATATAGTTGTTTTTTTTTTCCTTTTTTTTAAAAAAAAAAAAATTTGAAACCGAAAGGCAAAGTACATTGCTATTATGTGAGTTTTTGATGTTTGTCGTCTTGTCACTACAGGGCGCATCGACATCATCGCAGCCTCCGTCAAAGAAGGGTCGCAGTGATTAGAACTCGTTACTATTCTCACGTCTTGGTAGTAAAATTTTATGAGTACGCGTTGGTGCTACTCTTTGTATGTAGTTCGACCCTACGACTAAGTGATTACACTATTCAAAGGGCTTTTGTAATGCCAAAACTATCTTTTGTAACGATGTAATGTAGACCCTTATGAGGTCAAACTTTTCCCTCTAAACGTTATGTACTAAAAGTTATCAATGAAATTTGACATGTGTTTTATTTATTGAATGTCTGGCACTATACATCATAACCTGATCACACAAACAGTTTACTCATAATTTTTTTTTGTTGATAAAATACAAGAGGGATGAAACCAGTAACACTCGACTCGTTATCACTATTGAAGCCTTACCGACTGGTCATTTTTTTTTATGATAGAACCATGCCACCAAGGAAAAGACCAAGGCCTTCCAACAACACTGTGCCGCCTCCACCACCACCTCCGCAGTTTGATCCTGCGATGTTCCAGGCTGCAGTAACGACAGTCGTGGCGGCAGCAATGTCGCAAATGGGAACCAATGGTTCTGGCGGTTCTGGATCCGGAGCTACCAATTCCATTCATGGGGACAGCACGGGGCGTACGAGGGAGTGCTCTTACAAAGACTTCACGACTGGCAAACCCGACCCTTTCAATGGAAGCGGGGGCGTT